CTTTACGGTACACTGAGTCTCAGGTTTTAAAAGATTTATGGTAAACCGAATTCCCCAAAAACCACATTTTCCTTTTCACTTTTGTACAGGCTTGGGACTGTCTATGACTCTGTTTACAAGCGGGGTAAAAAATGTGCTTTTTGTTGTATCAACTGTTTTTTAATTATTATATTAAATCATGATGTTTCATGTTTATGAATAAAAATCATAACTAAGTAGCCATTGGCCCATATAGGTATAATTATTAATGATATTTATTCTATTACTATTTTTTAATATGTACACTGATGTGCAGGGTAAATATTTATATGAAATATTGTTTAACAAATTTAAATTATGAAATCTTTTTCTTTTGTTTTTTCTTATTTTTAATAACCTTTTTGCTACGTATTTTTATGTATCTATTTCATATTTGAATGTCCTTGACTATGTCAATAAAATGATAGACGTTTCTCAATCATTGATTGGTAGAATATAAACTTTTTCTATTTATGTATATAGTCGATGTTTATAAACTATTATTATTCGAAAAATTTAATTATATTGTTATTCAATTTACCTCGGACTCAATTTACTGGTAAATAATATTCACCCAATAATTTAGGACTCGGTTTACCAAACCTCATAGTATATCATATAGTACCTATTTTTTTGTAGAATGCTTGCAATATATTTTACTTATACTATAGTACCAGAGTACCTGCAAAACCTCCCTAAGAAGTAAGAATATATCTGAGAAGTGACGGCGACGGCGCAGTGTGTAATATTTATTATTTAGTATATTACGCGCTGCGTTTCGGTCGTCGCGTTCCACCATTACCTACTCATTATAATATATTAATTATCGTCGTGACATCGTCATTATTGTTACGTCAAATTCGTCAATCGAAGTGCTAGTCGATTTTAAAACGAACGATGTACGCATACAATATAACATAATAATAATATGGAGCCGTGTGTTAAAGGTACCTACAACATGCGTTATGGTCTCTTGTTAATTTATTCAAATGTAATTCCCCGACTCGGTGGTTGACCGAGACTATCCAAGGGTCACGGACGGTATTATTTTTTTTTCCATTCCGTAAATTATACGATAAAGGTGTCCGGCCTTATAGTTACCACCCGGTTGACTCTTCGTCGCGGCAGAGACAATGCCACGCGGCGTTATACAAACGCGTAGGTACATTATATTATTTTGTTGCAAAACACATTTTGATATGATATACATCAACCATCGTTGCACAATGCGACAGCGTACGTTCCACACGTCTCTTCCGAAAGTATAGGTACAATTTTTATTCGGCGAGGAAAATCCGGAAGAAAACAAGGAAAATTAGAAATAACACCGAAAAATGTATACACATACCCTGTATATTTCACAACACATTGCAAATCAAAACAATAGTGTATTCATATAAATACCAACAAAAAAAAAACATAATAATATAATATAGGTAGGTACCAAAACTAAATAACAGTGTAAGCTACTCGTCTGTGATTTAAAAAAACACCAAAATCGATATACAATTATATAATATTATAATATATAAAAACAACTCGAAGTTTAAAATTTAAAAACAAAAAAAACAGTATAATATTTTAGTGGGTTGTTTTTTGCGAGTTTTGTTTCTTTTCCCTTAAAGTACGATATTTATACATAATATATTATATAAAATCTATTCGTGTAAAATTCTAAGCAATATAATAATGCATTTAATATAAATATATTTTTTTAAAAAACAAAAATAAATACAATGACATTTTAGTATGAGGTGTTTGTATATTGTATAATATAAAATCCAAGCCCGTACCTACGAATAATTATAATAATACGATTACGACGATATAATATAGGTAATATGTATACGCATATAACTAAACCATGTTTTTCTGTACGCGTTTAAATTCGATATCTCAAGCTTTATATAATATATAATATACTATAATAATACTACTATAATAATACTATAATATACTATATAGTGAACAAAAAGGTGAAAATTAATCGGCGTTGAAATCATAATCGCATAATACAACATCGCTCGCAATAATTATATAGCTATTAATATTCTTTTAAACGTTTAAAATCGGAACTACCCACACATAACGACGACTTAATGACGTTCCGTGTTCTGAATTATAATTACAAGACGTACAGGAGTCGCGATTTTTTTTAATTACCCTACGCGATCAAAATACGTGTTCGCAGAACAGAATAGTAATACAGGTAACATAATAAATTATGACTTATAAAGTATAGCCATATTGATGTGTACACATAGAGGTGCACGTAAATTATTTACAAAAGCTCGGTTTTTTTATTGTTATTTTTTTTTTTTGTTCACAAGCGGAGAAGTTTATCGATTAGTAGACTTTGTATAGAACTAGAAGCGTACCAATAAAGAATTGCGGCGGTGCGGTCGTTTGCGCCAACCAAAAGTTCGATGAACAAGACTAGCTAGTCAGACAAGGAGTCATTTGTCTGTAAACTTACAAAACACGATTAATTTAAAAATGATAATGATGTCCTATACTCAAATTTCTGGTACTAAAAGTCTGTCCGGGGGCGTCGTCGTTGTAAGAAACGATCTTCGTGGTACGCATTCATCAAACAGTTGGTTTAGTTACATACTTAACATTAAAATATCCATATACCTAAAATGTTATATTATAATATACTATAATATTATGTATTTTATTTTACTTTCATATTTTTATACAATTTCTTATTTCTGAGATCTCGATGAGTTTATATAATATAATATAATTTTAATGTGATCAGTCTTAAAAACAATATAATAGTTGACCTGCTTCAATTAACACCTACGGTTGAGTTAGTTATTATTTTTTTCGCCGACTTTAATTCAAACTCTTAAACTAAGTAGGTACGTAACTTAACAATGAATTGTGATTGAGATAATTTGTTATCAATTCAAAATTTATACAATTATGGTTCCTTAAAATCTATAAGTGAATACAATATATTTGGTCCATTATTATTTAAAAGTAATTATATAATATAATTTATGTACCAATGTGTAGATACATATAAAAAATATAGTAATTCTGATAAAGGCGTGTTTATTAAAATACAAATATTTAGTGACAAATACACCAAATGTACAAATGTAGTAAATTGTTTACATAACAATTAATCAGAGATTTTATATATCACACGAATATGCAGTGCCGAATAATCAAAATTCATTAAAATAGAATAAATAAATATTTTACTATACTTTTGGATAGTTGTAAATTAAATTTAACAAAACAATCACACCAACACGTAAAATATCGAATCAAGCAAGTATAATTTTTAATATTTGTCCTCTTCAACACATTATGCAAACGAATTTTTAAAACGTACATGACTAGGTATTTAACTTAGTATTACAAAAATGATCAATTAAATATACATTTTAAAAAAATCATTGAATAGATATTTAATTGGATTGAAATATATTAATTGTGTTTACTAACATTTAACCCTTAGTGTCCTTTAGCTAAGTAAAATAAACCACCAAACCGTTAAGTTAAATATCAAATAGTACGTATCAACCATATAAATTATTATTAAAAATAAAACAAACATAATTCATTAACAATACTCAGAAAATAATGTTTAGAACTATATGTTCAAAAATACGTTGCAATAATTTAGAATATTAATCATTTACAAAAATTTAAAGCTCGAGATTAATTATTTTATAAATAAATTAGAACTATTACAATTACGTTTCGTCAAAAATACCTTTGGGATTTAGCTCATTAAATCACAGCCAGTTAAATAAAAACTGAAATCATTTGGGAATATTTTTGGTTATGTTTTGTGTTAATTAATATGATGCTTAAAATGGTAATTAACTTTTAATATTATATTGAAACTGAAGAAAGATTAAAAATCTATCAATTAATGATTTTTTTATTAAATATAAAATAATTAAAATATACTGACTAGGAACACAATATAATAATTAGCAGTAAACAGACTTGGGTAATATCGGTGATTGAGAAATATTTTAGGGTATAAATTACTGTTAAAGGCCGAACGAAAGTTATTAGTAGCCACGGACGAAACGAATTAAACAATTTGCAAATTTAATCGTTCTTAATTACCATTAAGTATTGCTTTAAAACAAACAATTAATTTTAATATACTTTTTTAAATAATTGTATATTTGTACTAATTAGTAATTATATGTTACAAGTTATACACAAGGATTATATGCATGTGCATAAAACAATATTTGACTTGATAGTTTTTTTTATTATTAATATAATTGAATAGCAAACATTTCACCCGTTATAACCAATTAAGGCCAGCAAAAACTTGGCTAAAAGATTATTATTTTTAAGAGATAAACCTAAACGGATTGAGAGTGGTAATTCAAATTTTAATAAAAGCACGAGCGGTTTATTTGAACAATGTATGCCACAAAAAACGAACAAAATGGATAGATTAAAAATGTTAATAATAATATTATATAGCACGCTAAATAGTAATTTTGATTACCGTTGGACCATCATTATTTAGTGCGCCAAAAAGATGTTAGAACAAAGATGTAATGATGTTTAGTGAAGGAGGCTCAATACCCTTATCGCAGTGGTTAAAATACAAATTTTTAACAAAATAAATTATAAAATGATTCTAGTTTAAAATAATGGGTTTACAATTTACAGTCAACTGTTTCTAATAAAATACGAATTAAACTAATAATGTTTTAATCTTTGGTTCTTTTCAATTCATTTATCCGACAGTCGAAAATATTAAAAATCAACAATTTAAATTAAAATAAAACAACAAAACTACAACCTCACAAAAATAACAATATAACTATATGATTACCAACGAAACATTATACCTATTTTAAATAAAATCTTTAAAATCAACAAAAAATAAAAATATAATATAATAACTACAATAGGATCATCCATTTTTCTAATATAATACACAATATAGATTATTGATAAAACAAAAACATCATATCGAAAACCAAAATCGTAAAAATATAAAATATAAATTGAAAACAACAACTGAAAAAAAATCATGATAAAGGTTTCAAGGTTGTAATTATTATTGGTAACATAATATTTCGAAACTGTCCAGCTTACATAAAGAGTATGTTTTTTTTCTAACTCTCCCTGCAAAAAAAATTGTGATATATATATCTATGTAGCGCGTAACACGGGTTAATTATTATGACGATATAAAGAACTTGAACTCACTTGGCATATGGTGGCGATGACTGGAGTTAGTAGTAACCTTTATGGTGGTGTTGACTGCAATCTACGAGTATCGAACCCTTTTGGCACAGCGCATGTCCAGCTCCATTGGTGATTCCACCTCAGATTCGGGTATAGGAACAAGATGTTTTAAGTGTAAAGTAGTGACTCCTTTGACGGCCATTGCGTCAAGCTTCCGGTCTCTAACCAACCGGACCATCAGCTGAGGGACGCCGCCACCACCGTTGTCTTCGTCATCGTCACCGCCGCCGTTTTTGTCGGTGCCACCACCACTCTCAAACCCACTACTACTTACATAACTGGTATAGTTATTGTCCAGACCGTTTCGTCGGATAACAATTTTTGGTAATTTCCTGGAGAGTTCGTGCGAACGGTTGTCGTTTGTATCATGACCGCCGTCGTCGTGGCGTTGGTTGTGGCGATGGTCATCGATGTTGTAATCGTTTGCGGCGGGACTGGTCGCCCTCTGCAGCACTAACCGTCTGACAACTACCACCGATTTGGGAGAAGTCATAGACCGGGAAGCCGAAACCTCCCATTCACCCGGTGTTCGACTTAGTCTCACTTCCACTTTAGCTGGGCCCAGCTCTATTTTTGTATCCTTGGTCTTATTCCGGACTGCATTCATGTTGAATATCCGTCTCCAGGGCAACTGCACCTTAATAGTGTACATCGGGCTCGTCGACACTTTGCCAGCCGCGATGACGGGCTTGGCAGAGTCATCAATGCGGCCAACGATAACTACTGCTGCCTTGTCGGCCACCAATAGCCGTCGCCGTCGTCTCCGTTTAGCTTCATTCACCCTTCGAGCAAGTAACCGGCTGTTGAACTTGTCTCTGACGTTGACGCGAACTTTCGCTAGTTTTGATATAGTTTTGTGCAGAACGCTTTTGTACTCGTCCTCCAGCGACTTGTCCCAATACACTTCACCACAATGTTCGGGCGTGTTGTCTTCCGATTGAAAATCGGAAAACGGTGATGGGATAGGCGTATCGAGGAGTCCGTTGTAGTCACCACCATTTATCGCGTCACATTCGACACCGACAGAGATATTTGAAACTTCAACATCACGTTCTTCGTACAAGACGAGTTTATTGTTGTCGTTTTCTAATTTTCCCAGATTTTGAACCTCTTGTACAAAATTAGCTGGATGACCAGTAGTCTGTGAGACAGCCGTCGTTTTGACCGACTCTATTAGATTCCTATCATTCGATTCTTTTCTATATATACTTTGCCATGGTTTTAACTGTTTATAGTTTATACCGTTTCGTTTTTTAAAGATATGCTGAGTCATAATCTTTTCATTTTTCACAACTTTCAGTTTTTTATAAGGCACAGTCGATTCTTCATCAAATATATTTGTTTTTATCATATTTTTACTTTGACATTTCAACATAAATTTAACTTTCGGTAATTGTATATCCCCCGCAACACTTTTAGAATCAGTATCCTTGGTACAAGAATCGTGATTCGTTTCATGAACATTGTGTTTAGATTTCGCCAAATTTTTTAAACTAGGCATTTCTTGACATATCAATTCATCATGATTCAAAAAACTTCCAACAAAACCAGTTACATCTTTTTCTTCAACTAATTTATTCAAATTTTGATGACTTTTATATTTTACGTGGTTTAATAAATTAGGCCTTGATACAGTCAAATCTACGGCCTCGTTAATTTCATTTGAATTATGTTTAAATTCTAATTTATCTTGATTTATTGAAAAAGGTACAGATGTAGTCAAATCTTCAGAATCAGAAATTCCATTTGAATTTTGTTGAAATTCTAATTCATCCTGGTTTAATGAACTAGATCCAGATATAGTCAAATCTTCGGCCTTATCAATTTCATTTGAATTCGTTTGAAATTCTAATTCGTCTTGACCTATTGAACTAGCCAACTTGTTGGCCTCATAAATAGCATTATAATTTTGTTGAAATTCTAATTCATCTTGATTTATTAAACTAGAGCCAGGCCTAGTCAAATTTTCAGAATCATAAATTGTATTAGAAATCTGTTGACATTTTAATTTGTCTTGATTTAATGAATTAGGTCCAGATGTAGTCAAATCTTCAGCCTTGTCAATTTCTTTTGAATTCGGTTGAAATTCTAATAATTCACCTTGATTTACTGAACTAGTCAAATCTTTAATCTCGTCAATTTCATTTGAATTCTGTTGAAATTCAAATTCATCTTGATTTATTGAACTAGGTCTAGATCTAGTAAAATCTTCAGCATCGACAATTTTATTTACATTTTGTTGAAATTTTAATTTATCTTGATTTATTGAACAAGATTCGGAACTAGTCCCATTTTCAGACTCGTAAATTGCATTTGAATTCTGTTGAAGTTCCAATTCTTCTTGATTTATTGAACAAGATCCAGAACTATTCAAATCATAAGATTCATAAATTACATTGGAATTCTGTTGACATTCTAATTCATCTTGATTTATTGAACTAGGTCCAGAACTTATTGAATCTTCAACCTCGTTCATTTCATTTAAATTTCTATGGTACTTTAATTTGCCTTGGTTAATTGAACTAGATCTAGATCTAGTCAAATCTTCAGCCACGTACATTTCATTTGCATTTCGTTGAAATTCTAATTCGTCTTGATTTATTGAACAAGATCCAGAACTATTCAAGTCCTCAGACTCGTAAATTGCATTGGAATTCTGTTGAAATTCTAATTCATCTTGATTTGTTGAACTAGGTCCAGAACTTTCTGAATCTTCAACCTCGTTAATTTCATTTGAATGTATATGGTACTTAAATTCGTCAGGTTTTAATGAACTATTTGATTTTTCAATCTCCTCCGTTTCATCGGAATATTGTTGGAATTTTAATTCATCATGGTTTAATAAACTAGATTCAAAATTCATTGAATTTTCCATTTCATCAACTGCATTAGAGTTTTGTTCTCTTATTAATTCAGCGTGGCTTAATGAATTAGGTTCAGGATTAATTGAATTTTCAATCTCGTAAATTTCATTTGGATTCTGATGGGTTGTTGATTCGTCATGGTTTACTGTAACAAGTTTAGGATTAATGGAATTATCAGCAATTAAGATTTCTTTTGGTTGTTCGTCGTGATTTAATGAACTAAGTTCAGAACAAGTTAAATCTACGGCATGGACCGTTTCCTCCGAACGATGTATGGATGTTGAATCGTCGTCATTTAATAACAAACTCGGTCTAAAACTAGTTAAACCTTTAATCTCGACTAGTTCATCCAAATTTTGATGGTGAGTCATTCTAACATGACTTAATGTACAAGGTCCAGAATTGATAGAATCTTCATCTTCGTACATTTTATTAGATTTTTGTTGCTGTTTTAATTCAAAGGAATTTAATGAACTAGATCCAGAACTATTATTTTGGTCATGTTCTTTTTCATCTGTATTTTTTACAGAATTTAATATATCAGATCTTAAGTTTTCAAATGTAGCTAGAGTAGCATCACCTTGAATAGCGTTGTTCTTCGAGGTTTCAATAGGTTGACTACTTTTATCATTATTTGACTCTATTTCACCTTCTTTAACGTCTTCGGTGTTTTCTCCTACAACTATAGCAGAGTTTTCATTAATATTCGAATCATCTGGTTTGATTTTCTCATCGTTCATCGGTTCGTTGTGTTGAATCGAAACAGTCGCCAAACGATCAGCCGAATTATTTACAAGTTCTTGCAATAAAACATTATCAGTTTCTTCAACATTTTCGTCAGAAGCATCACGAAACACGTTCATATTTGATTCATCAGTAATCTCGTCAACAGTGCCCGAATTGCTATTTTTTAAATTTAGATCTTCAGCAATATCTAGACTTTTAGAAACATCACATTTAATATCATTGTGACAGAAATTGTTCAAAATATTAGTATCATTTTTTTCTACGGTGTTTAAAGTTGATAAATTATCATATATATTTTCAAAAATATTCTCAACTTCTGAGTTATTCTGATTAGAATTCCCGTGAGTATTAAAATTATTTAGATTTTTCTCACAGTTTTTATTTTCAAAATGAGTTTGTGTCTTTGAGTTTTCAAGATTTAGTTTATCTTGTACATTGTTAACAATGCAACCAATTTCAAAAATACGGTCCACATTACTTTCTTGATTAATATTTTCTGTTTCAATTAGATTATGACGTTGAGCATCATTATTACAACTTAAGTCTGATGTTTCTTCAATTTGTAACTCTTCTTGAATACCTAGAGTGTTTTTGTAATCTGTTTCTAGTTTTGCTTTGTTTTCATCATCGTTCATTTCAAATCCGCAGTTAGTTTTCGTTTGCATTTCATTCGTAAATATTTCGTTTGGGCTTGTCGGTTTTTCGATATTATCAGAAGAACATTCTATTTCTAAATTTTGAATAATCCTTGTATTAAAATCAAATGCATCCATTTTTTCCAAATTATGTATATCTCTGTTATTATTATCTAATTCAAAAATATTTTTTCTATTGATATTGTGTTCAACTTTTCCCACATTATCAGAATTAAATTTTGAATCAAAACTATGGTTGTTTCTACCTAATTCATGTTTTTTATTAGTTTCAATTGTGCTTACTTTACTTACAGGTTTTGAATTTAATTCAAAACTATTTAGTTCAAAATCAACATTTGCATTTTTTCGAATATGAAACAATTTGTTAGGATTCAAATCATTGTGTTTTATTTGGCTAATACTGTTAGCTTCAATAGATTTATTAATTACGGTTGTTTCTTTAGAAATTTCAGATTCAAGAATACTTTTTTTATCGTCAAACCCAAAATTACGATCTTCTATATTTAAATAATCAAAACTATTTTTTTTTGTACTTGATATTTCATGAATATTATTTGTGTTTTCGTGTTGAAACTTGTAAGATTCGACTTCATTCAAAAAATTTGAATTCTTATTGTTATTGTCATTATGAATTTGTGCAACATGGCAATCCATGTTAAAGTCTGAGTTTTTTACAGAATTTATAACTGAATGAATATTTTCATTATTTTGCAATTCAAATTCTTGTACATTTTCGCTCTGATATTTAAAAACTGTTGTATCTGATTTTTTATGGTTACCGGTTTCATTTTGATCTAAAACAACTGTTTTATTTTTATTTTCATCAAAATAATTTTTAATCAAAAATGTTGATTGAAAATCACACTGGAAAGGCAACTGAGTATTGTTTGATGATGTTGTATTAGTGTCGGAAGTGTTAGTTGACTCAACTTTATTTATCTCGTGATCTCCTCCAATTTGATAATTAATCCTTTCTTCAAAACATTTATCAACAATATCTTCATGGAGAGATTTGTTAGATTCGTTACTACAATGTATATCGAACCCAAACGTCGTTTCAAATTCATCAAAATTATCTTGATACTTCTGGTCATCTGTTTTCGTACTTTCTAAACAATTTAAAAAATCATTCGAGTTAATTTTATCATTTTCGATGATATTAATTTTATTAACGTTTAAATTACGATTTATATTTTCTGCCAACATCATGGTTTTGTCCTGATAATTTTCACTCATATTTGATTTCGGTAATGTATTGCGATTTTCAGGAGTACTCTTAAATTGAGTAATTTCTACATCACACTCAACAACTGCGCAAGACGAACTATTTGAGTTTCCTTTTAGTACAAACTTTTCAGACCAAACATCAAATTGGTTTAATTGAACACTATTGCACTTAGATTTTAAGTCCGTTACGTTGAATGTATTTGTAGGATGTTCTTTTAAATTGTTTTCAGTTTTATTTGTTACAACACTATCATTGTCGACACACGTATTATCGTATTTTAGCTTTTGTTTTATGACTGTATATATTTGACTTGGGTCTCGGAGAGTAGGTTTAACAATATTTAGTTTGGAGGGAGCTGAGACAGGCGCTAAAGGTTCTTTTTCTTTAAAACTTGGAAGGCCAACAAAATCAAGTTTATTCTGATCATTCTTATAACTTAATGTTTCGTTTAAAGTTGTAATACACTTAGGTTCATTTAGATGTTCAAAAATCGAACCATCAGCCCGATGTTCATTATCATCCTTTCTAAATTGCAAATACTCTTGAGGTTCATTTATTACTGGCAATTCAAACCCATCACTGAAATCAGGTATTCGATTATTCAAATTAAAAACATCTCGAGCTGGTCGGTTAGAAGGTAATAAATCGTTGGACTTCGAAAATGGAGGTATATCTTTGACAACCATTGTATGATCAGTATCATTATTTTCGTTGGAATTATTATTATTTTTTGTTGATTCTTCCAAAGAAGTCATCTGGTTTGAAAATAGCTGGTGGTGGGAATTATCATTAGGAGATGCATTTAATATTTTTTTATCAGAATGATTTTCATAACTATCAATAAAGCTCCAGCCATCAAAAATTGAATCATGATGAGAATTAGATTTACTGTTTACTGTTAAGTCCACACATGGTACATTATCTTTCCAGCGATTAGAAACATTTTTATCTGCGTTCATACCATCTAACATGTTATAATTATTTCTGTTATATAAACAAGACGGTTCCATAACCATGTTGGTGTTTTTCATAATTTTATCGAGATCGTTGGATAAGTTCCAATTTATGCTTTCAAAATCAGTTTGTGTTGATACTTTATCGTGTTTATTTTTATCGCAACCAGTCCTCTGTATGACACTTTCATGAAATCCGTTATATTCTTGTCTATGCGGTGATACTATAACTGGAAAATGTCTATTACTCGTGTCTATTTGTTGTATTGAATGTTGGTTATTCGAAACTATAGAATTATAACTATTGTTTTGATTAAATACTTTATTACACTGATTATTGATGCTGTCATTTGGTTTATGGTCACTTGTCGTAATCTTTTCGAACACGAAAGGATTACCTTTAGTTTCATCGGTAAGAGAAGAAAAATCGAGAGGTTTCATGATAACACTGTGGTCGTACAAAGACGTATTCAAATGCTGTTCATGGACACCTTGATCCAAGTTCCATGGTAATGTTTCTTCATTAGTAACATTTAAACATTTTTTGGTTATATTTTCTACAATGCAAGAAGAGTTCAAGTTATTTGATTTGATAGTTGATGCTTTGTTACTTTCGTTTAAGACAAAAGAATGAACTTTAGGAATAGAATCCTTATTACAATTGATTTTATTCATAATAGGAGGTTCAATACATTTATCTACGTGATTTTGTAAATCAAACATTTGTGGACTTTGAATATATTTTGAAGTATTTTTGTCTGAACTCTCAATGGATCGATTTGTTTGAGTTATTTGCCCTGTATAAGCTGCAGTTCCAAACGATACGCCTTCGTTTTCTTGCGATTTACTCAAGTTAAAAATCCGGTCGGCTAATCTTTCAATGAGATCTGTAGATGAAATGTCTGTGTTTTTTTTACCATACCAAGCTACCATTCCATCAAAATTAACGCTATAACTTTTTTCAGACTGGGTATTTGTTTCAGGCAATGTTTTCTTCTCAGTGATAAATGGTTTAATGATTCCAGTTTCCCGTTTAGTGTAATCTAAGGGTTCAAAATTCGATTTCGAAGGTAACTTGGGTTTATTAATTTCATTTGGTTCAGCTGTAATAACTAACGGATTTTGATTTTCTTTAAGTACTTTTTCTAAATTTTCGTAGGACACTACATTTAGTTTTTCTTGAATTTTAGTCAATGCATCTCCATCAAGTGTCATACAATCGAGTACCACAATGGGCTCTGCTGGTTCAGACGATTTTTCACCAATTTCTTCTTCTCCTTCGTCCCAAGTAGCCAAAAACTCGCGTACGTTTAAATTACTCTTTGAGGTATTTTTTGGCGTAATTTGGGGTGTCTTAAATGATTCACTAGGTATTTGTACATCTGAATAAGGCACTGGTTGGGTGTTATAGTACTGTTGTAATGAAGACGGATTTTGAATGTTTTGAGATGAAATAGGTAATCTAGAACTGTGATCATGGGATACATACTCAGTCGTAGTGTTTTTTGACGGATTATGGTAAACTGGGGGTCGATAGTCATGTACATCAGGTAAAGGTGGAATGTAATTATAAGGTATATGATGTGTAGCACTTGTAGGTTTTGAATAAGGGTTACTTTGATAGTTCGGTAATCTTTGATAATTTTTTTCCCTATTAAAATCGTGAGACACCGGACCGGTATGACGGCCAATAGGTCGTAACCTTTCGTTAGACCAATTAGGATTGGTTGCAGGTGGAATCCACAAGTTATTAGCTGGAGGACAATAATTTGCATTGTTTAAATATGAACTACTATATTTTGGTTGATAACAATTTTGTGTATCGTATTTAACTGGTAAATCATTTGGAATGTATGATAGGAACTGTTCGGAGCACGGAGTTTTCAAAGTCTTTTTTGATTTATAAGATCGATTTATTTGTTGCACTGGTCTTGGGTTATATAACACTTGTGGTGGGGATGCTTTTGGTATGTTTTGAGACCTGAGCCGACAACACGGTTGACAGCATTGCGGCAAATTCTGTCCGTACACATTTGCCGGTACATATTGATTAGTAGCTGGCGGGTATGGAGTAGGAAAGTCAAGATTATAATATCTGGAATGAAAGCCGTACAAATGTTCAAGCCGGTGGTTTGCATTCCACTGATAGACTGGTGTAGAGGGTTCGGTCGATATAAGAGAATTTTGATGTATTGAGGCAACATTATGAGGTGGAACATGGGCAGATGGGCAATTTGTAGTTCCATAATTTATTTGACCGTCTCTCAAGCTGTTTAACATAACTCCTCAGAAGGTGTACATAAGCTGCTGAAAAACATTTAAGTGAAACATAATATTAAACAACTGATTTAACTTTTTAAAATGTATGTAATGTAAGCCCTGAGTATACACCTTTTAATATATATTTAATACCGAGTATCTGAATTACAAGGAAATATAATCAATTTTAGGGTAATACGTATTTCAGTAATTAAACTAAACTATAATATTCAAAAAGATCATAATAAATGCAAGATAAGGTACTCCTGAAATAATTATTGCCGCGAGAGGTCTGCTTGGAACATGATCACTGATATCCTAATACCATTGATTATAAATACGTATAATAACCTAACTATACTACCAACAGTTGATTTTAAATACGTATAACTCATTTTTTATAGTAAATTGTAAAAAATGTTTCAAACTGTTAATGTTTTCTTCAATTTGTATTGTTTTAATTGTTTTCAATAAAAAAAAAATAAGATAATTTGGTGCTTAAAAAAACTAACTACACATAACCTATTAATTTAATACACGTTTAGGTACGTTAAAGTACGACAAAACATTTTTTACATCATGCGTTCAAAAATTTGTACACGAAGAGTATTACAATTTTAAACATTCCTCTTTATTTTCCGTATAGTTTTTGGATATTTGTATGGGAAATATGTATATCGTATATTTTACTATGTTTTATAATATTATTTTTTTCTATAAGCACATTGATTATTCCGACGAAAATGTTTTCAATATATTATCTACGTTTCCGTTTCTATGGAATAATCGATAAACATAATAACATAACCCTTCGAACCCTTCAGAAATACAAATATAATGACCAATCCAAATTTTTAATTAAACAAGAAAACTTTATATTATTATACGAATGCATAAATATATTGTGCTATTATTTTAATGAATTTAAACGACTCGAGATCAACGAACACAACAAACTAAACTAACATAATATGAGTTGAAAGCATTCAAAATAATAAAATTACACATTTCAAATAAAAATTAAAAATTAATTTTTTTACTACATATTAAAGCGTGTTGTGACTTGTGGCCGTTTGAGATTTTGCATAGTTTGAATAGCAACAAACTAATACCCTCAAATTATAAACATGCTTCATGTTCAAAACATAATTATTTATAAGTTAGCATTTACTAACTTCAAAATTTTAATAAATGTATAGTAAAAGTTTAATATATATGATTATGTACATATACGTAATTTTATATAAGCTAGGTACCTGTGTGCTTTTCATCTGTTAAATAAACCAGATCATACGCCTATACTCACAGTTAAGCAAACAGTATAAATGTAAATGTTTACTGCCAACTGTGGCTATATAATTGCTAGCGAGAATAAAATTTTAAAATTCAGATGTGTATAAAATATGTTTTGCGTAGAATATAATAACTGCATATTATATAGTTCTGTACGGTGTAAATTATTTTAAATTTTCAACAATTTTTCAATAACAGTCGTTGTTTGGTTTTTTTTTTTTTTTTGAACGTGTATTTTTCTAATGGTGAAGTATATTAATTATATAGGCTACTGTCTATTAATATAGCATGCTACACTGCATATATACATCAAAAAATTATATTTTAATATTTTGAACCACCTTGCATGCCTCTATTCCGATTTCCGGTAAATATCTTAATGACGATAGATTTTAATTTGACGCATCAAAAAAATGTTTTTAAAATTAATTTATATTAATATAAATATGAAAAATCAGTTTTAACGTTCCTCGAACAAATATTATGAAAATCAAGTTCTCTGGAGAGCATACAAATGGAGTATTATGTTAACAAGACCTTGAAATATCACAACGAACTAAATGTGTGCTTGTATATTTTTATACAATCATTTATAGGTCAAAAATATTTCCTTCGTAACTCTTTCAGAATGTTCAAAAGCTTTTTCACATTCAATTTTCGAATTATAGGTATGCCTGAAAAATGTAAGTAATTATTTCATTGCAATTTTTTAAGGGTTAATACGTTCAAAGTGTATCACATTCATACTACAAACGCTATACCTATTCACAATAAATCATAAACAACAATCGAAAATATATGTCTAGATGAATATATATACCAAGATACCTATTTTTATATCAATCATATATACATACAAATAAAATAATATACATTTGTACATTATTATTTATTATAAAGTATTATAATATACATGAATTGAACTTACTTACAAGTGTTAACGTTAGTTATAGAATACCAATAAAAAAGTTTGATAATCGTGTAATTATGTAGGTATAGGTACACGCAATTATTTGATTAAGTCATCAGTCATCCTCAATATGTACTATCAATATTTTTTCATTAATATTATTATTAATATTACATTAAAAAGCAATAATGTAATGATTATTGAAGCATTTTTTTTATAAATTACGTAACAATGTAATACGATTGCGATCGCGCATCGATAGGTAGCATTACCTCTAACGTCCAGTTGTAGGTACACACCTCGGTCTATAATAGTATATTATATTGTATGCTATACACCCACCTATTATTATTATCCGAATAAGATCAATTTTTCGTTGGAATTACTGTCAAATATTTATAAAATATACATCTAGGTTTAAAAACCAAGATAAACCTCGTTTTCTATAACGTATAAACATAATAATACCGTCATTATACGATACGTGTTTTGTGGATGTTAGTTGGCTTCATTAGTATAGTATATTATACCAACTGTACACACATTATTATATACTTATATAAGTTATAACTATATTTAAGCAGAGAAAAACAACAGCGCCTTTAGGAAAAGAAAAAACGTATTGATTTTTCAATAAGGCGATTGAAAATAAAATAGACATTTTACATATTAAAGTACCCAGAGAAATAAGTAACTATAATGTTTTAAAACTAACTAGTTAGGGAAATATGTTTTAATATGATTTTGTAGTTATAAATGACAAGTAGTGATAATTTTTTATTTGTTACAATATTTTAGTAAGTATCAATTGAATTAATTATTTTTACATAACCTAACCAGTAACCAATAAATAATTTTTATTTTTAGTACATTATATACAAAGACGTTTTGTTAATTTTACTTTATATTCGTAGACTTTAATTTTATTCACTAGATATCATCATAGTTTTAAGTAATTCATGGTTATTATAATAAAATAAAAATGCTCTAAAAAAAAATTAACAATAATAATGATAGTAAATACCTACCTAGTGATATTTTACATTATTTAATTCATAGTCTGATTCGTGAATACATTTAACACATTTAAAGTTACTTGTAATATTATGTTGTGTTTTCACGAGAAAAAATGTTTGGTAAGAACTATTGAAATCTAAATCTCAGTTCGAAAAAAAAGATGCTTGACCTATAGTTAACTTATTTTCTCTATCTCGACTGAATATAGTAAATAGTATATAATATATACTATATATACTGCCACAAGGTACTATGCAGATATGGTCTATGGGTATACCATATACTGTATAGTATATTCTATATATATGTATTACGCGTGTAACATTGCATAACCTTTTTTTTCAAACCATCGTTTATCTATTGCATAACGTAGGTACAGGTTTTTTTTTTAATACACACATCAAATCCCGGACCAAATTTCAAATATTAAAAATTAACAGTTGTAGATAAAGAAAAATACATCCTAATAAAGTATATTTCAAGGGTATTGAGAAAATTACCTATTTTTTTGATTCAACAGCGATGACATGTTTTTTTTCCAAATTTATGTTAATAAATCGTTAAGTTCACAACATTTCTTGTTTAAAATCTTTTTAAAAAGGTGTATTAGTGCTCCAAAACAAAAATTGGCAGCGAAATTGGTAGTGTATATAACGAGTAATATAATGAAATAATAAAATGTATAATATTTTTGAATTGTTGATATCATATTATGAAATACTTGAGCTGAGAATACCATAGTCTTGAACCACGAAATATGGCACTGCATTATTAATAATTAATCTTTTTGGATTCAGTTTTACGAACGGAAACGCATTGGATTGTACCTAATGGTTGTATAACAAGTACATTTATGTTTTTTCTCATATTAAAGAAGGGTTTCACATGTTTTGGGTATAAAATCGAAAAACTAGTTTAGATGCAGGGGTGCCCGCAGAAAATAAGCTCGGAGGGTGATACGTGCAAAGGAAAAGGGCAGTTTATGTATCCATGCTCAATTTCCAACGAGATTTCCAATTATTTTTCATCAAATGTGTATACCAATCTGCTGTTTTTAATATTAGGTATTAAGAGGACGTTATACCCGCATGTGTTGTCTCCGTCTTACAAAGTATGAACAACATAACAAAAACTGTTAAGCGCGGAAAGAGCCGAGAAAACTACACAGTATAATATCTAAGAACCAAATTCCCATCATGAAGAGAAGAGAATTTTAACTGTGTCGTTGAGTTTTAATTTCTTCGATAACACCAATATATCAAAAGTTATTTAAGTTTAGAAAGCGTAAAAATATCAGATTTTTTAAAGTATTAAGACTTTTTTATTATTAATGATATCAAACAAAGAAAAACGCTACATCACAGAAATTATTAACTTATACCTACATTGGGTTAGCTTTTGGTGTCCCTACACAGACTGAGTGGTTCTATCCCGCGAAAAACAGTTTTTGCTATGTTGTACATTAAACATGCAACCCAAAACTATATACATTTTTCAAAAATCATGTTGCCTTCGATAATATTTTTAAAAAATATTTAAACACTAGAATATATTTTACTCTTAAAATGATAAAATAATGAAATATTGTACTTTATTAATATATTATAGATACCGAAAAAAAACTGAAGATAATAATTTTTTAGATGGTGAAATTTGATTGTTCCTTCATATTTAACGTAAAAATAACAATTCTTAGCAAAAACAGTAAGTAAGCCTATTACTTTGTAATTTCTGGATATTGAATTTGGATATAATTATTTTAACTAGCAGGGAAGCTAGAGGGGAGTTCCCCCCACCCTTTGTCAAATTTTACCAAGTACCTATAGGAAAAGATAAAATCTAAATTTCGTGTTAATTTCAAGCACCTACAGTTATTGGTTATTAAATTACAACAAAATAGGAAAATCGTTCCATAAGAAATCGAGTGAATCAACCTATTGCTGTAAAAATTTGAAATTCAAACACTCACAAAAATTCAATATGACTATCCAGTAGAAGTTTTTTTTTATATATAAAGATAGACAAACTTCTGAGATTTTCTGTATTAAATTAATACGCAATGAAATTAAATTTTTATGATTTTCACGTATTTTGGCCATAAAAAATAATTGCGAGAATTATTGTAGATCTAGGCTCAACTTTTTTTTTAATTTCCACTAACAAAAACTTACAATAGGAATCTTATATTATATTTTCAAGCTTTTTGAAAATTTTTTTATTGATATTAATAATTTAAAAAAAAAACTAATTAACATCGAAAATTTCATAATAGTTCAACAATGTTCAACATCAGTCAAAATATTTTGAAAATTGTATGGTTATAGAATATACTAACATAAATATCCAGTGAAAATTTCATGTATCTACAGTAATTATTTTTAAAGTATCACCAAAAACCAAAAACATTTTTCCGAAAACCTAATTCGAATAAAAAATCTCGTTTTTCTTAATTTATTATTTTTATTTTTCCAAGCGCTTTTGAAAATACTGAAAATTTTAAATGTTGACCTACCGAATACACCAACTAGTAGATTTACTTTCCCACCGGAAAAGATGCTGAAGTTGAAAATCGAAGTATGATTTAGATTGTTGACGACTAATCGAGTACAATACACAGACACAAAAAAAAACACACACACACACATCATCGTATAATCAATCCATCCATATAGCTCCCGACTCTAAAACGTAAGTACCTAATTATTGTTACTTTTTTTTATACAACTTATAATGTGAAAAAGAATAATAATTTTAAATGTATTAAAACACAATTATTTCGTAAAGAAAACAAATTTTAAGAGGCATTAGACATCCACTGCATTTTGATCCCAAAAAGTCAACACTCAATATTCAGAAATAATTATAATAAGGGTTCTTATTATTTTACGGACACGAGCTTTTTATTTTTAATAATTTTTAACGATAATAATTAGATGTTAGGTACTTTAAAGATTGAACGGGAAGATGAAAAACTACAAACAATCCTTAAACGTTTTTGAAGAAATATACATGTACAATATTTTAGAAAACATTAAGTGACTAACTTTATAGAAGTAAAAGTTCGAGTAAAAGCCTCCTTAAGGTATTACAAAAAATGTCTAGACTGAAATTTTAATGCCAATCGTACCTCTATGGTGTCATTCATCAAATCACTTCATAGTTTTCTAATGAAAAATCACGATAAAAAAATGTAAACAAGCACGACAACGATTTATTGATAAATATTAAACTTCATAAACATAATAAATTGTCTTAATAATTTGCCCCCGAATTTGTCTTTACATTATACAATAGGTACCTAAACACAATAATACATCCATACAGTTTAAAGTTAGGTACTAATTAGTATTATAAACAATGAATCAATCATTTTCTAATCCCATAAACAGCTACAACAGCTCATAGCTACCTATCTAAATAATAATATTGAAACGAAGAGTTTTCGTCTGTCTGCCATGAGTATTGCGCGATATCGAATAATGCATATAGGCTACCAGAGTTAGGTTTTAAACTGTTGATTATTCACGTGTATAATACATTTTTTTCTTTGTATCAATTAAAAGCAGGCACACTCAGCTTGAAGACACAAGTCACACAAAAATGTTCTACCTTACTTTACTACTATAATAATAATAATAAAATATATTATTTAAAATCGTCGACACGCCACGATGCAATATGCATCAGCTGTTTTAGATGACAGTCAATCATTTTATTTTACCGCGGGTTAAACTATAAAATGTTTAACGAGCAATCGTTTTATTTAAATGCAACGTATAATGAAGTTATAATAATTATACAATTTATTGTCCAACCGTCGTTATATTACCAATATTTAATTTAATTTTTATGCGCAAGGCTACTAGCTATGTACGAGCTAATTAATCATAACTCTAATAAATATTTTACTTTAATTATAGGCTTATAAAAATAGGTATTAAGGTATCAACGTTAAAATTTTTATTTTGTTTGAACCTAAATATTGGTGTATCGAAGTAAATATTCACGAATTCACCTATCAACAAATTATATAACATGTGTTTTATCCACCTAATAAATCAATGCACAATAGTAATTTAATTATCATTTATTCTTACAAGTTACTATACAAATATTACACGAAATAGAAATGTGAATTCCGAGGTGAATTCATTCTTATTATTCTTTTTAAAAAAAGATACCTGGCATCTAAATATAGTATTTTATTCTGAGGAGAAAAAGAAATCTATTGGTTTCACAACCATGTATTGTTTTTATTAGTTGTTCCACAAGTTTCTATGGTAAAAGTGTTCCAAAAGTTTCAGTAGTTTCATTATTATGATCTCTAATAAAAGTTGGAAACAATTAACACTTTTTTTATTTATTAAATTATTAAATTATTTTATTAACTTATATTTTTAAAAAACTATTATTAGGTATGTTACTAAATACAAAAATATCAATAGTGTTTTACCAGTTGCTGCAGTTCACCGATGACTACATAACGGACATTTAAAATTTATTTTGATGTTTATAACTATTTTAATATAATTTACATAAATACTATTGCACCTTTTATATTCAATTATTAATTGGTTTTTATGTTTTTAATTAAAAATTAAATTTGGTAGACTGTGAACAGTACCATGGTCATAAATTACCATTGATATAGGTGAACTATAAAGTTAAATAAAGTTAAAGTAAATAAATATAAATAATTTAAGTATAGGTTTATTTAGATAAGTAGGTATGCACTAGACACAGAACGCTATACAATATTATTTAGGTTATTCAATTCACTATCCAGCATAAAATAATTATCAGGGCAATTTTACCTTACCTAATTAACTACTCAAAATTATATGTTTAAATTCATCTCTAGAATCAGATTCGAGTTAATCATAAACTATAGTTATTTATAGAGTACCAAAATAAATGAAATCTTATAAAAAGAAAACACAGTTAAATCATAAGTAATAATAAGTAATATTATTGACAGTACCCTCGACAATACCTATAACAAACTGAGCATAATTTACAGCATAGAAAAAAATAAAATTTATAAAATCTACCTAGTACAAAAATTGATTTTTACACAACTTAGTACATAACACAAATAAGCTTAGAACCAAAAACTAATTTTTACCAAAATATTTAATCTCTATATACATAACAATTTAAACAAGATATAAACTGAATATTGTTTATGCAATGATAAAATCATAACATTTGTTTACAGTAATTATAACTTGGCATTGAAGTGCTAGTGTATACAATTGTAACAAACGTTGAGCACTTGTGTACCAAGTAGGTAAAGTATAATATATTAATATTGTTGAAATCAGTAGAAATTATGATAGGTATTGACTAAGGTATGAAAAGAAAAATTGAATCAAACATATAATTCAATACAATGTAAATTCTGAATTAAATGAGATAAGTGTACTAACTATTGAAAGGTAGATTAGTAGATACCTAAGACCTACATACGTATGGTAATAGATCATAATATTATCCAAGCAGAACCTAACATAACGAACATAGGAACATCCATTGCGATAGATTTAGGTGTAAGACTTTGTCACTAAAACAAACATATGGAAGTGAGCATAAGCCGATATCAAGGCTGACTCGGGGAGGTGAGGCAAAAACAGAAGTGACCGAGTATCCACAATTGGCTCAGTAATGGGGTAAGCAATGATGACACGACTTACCTTCAACTGCTATGCGGTCATTCCGGGATTGATGGTGGCTGATCCTGGTGACGAGGGAAAAAAAACCCTCACGGACGGCGACGACGGGTTTAATGTCAACGATGAGGGCTGGTGGCCCAGTGGGCAAACGACGAAGACAACATATTTCGTGCGGCTCAAATTTCTCTCAAGCGTGAAAAATTGAAAAAAAGGTTTGAGTTACGAAAACCAAAAGGTAGGTACCTAGTACGGTCTATGTATAACTATAGACGACCACTGCGGTGGCGGTGTGCGACGTGTCTCTGTAAATTCGGCGGTGGTCGTATTATTTTCGTTATTATAATATTATTATTATTACAGTCGTTTTTATTTTTCTCTCCGCTCGCACAAAATATTTTGTCACACGCACACGCACACACACACACGGGCGTGCACACACACTACACTGCGGGGCCGCCAATGATAAGAAACGGTTGAGGCCATGACGGTTCATTGACGAGAGAGAGACAGACCGATAGTGCCGAAAAAATTATAAAAAAATAAACAACAAACAACAACAACACGTACAATTGTACGAAAGAGTGCCCCCACCGAAAATCAGCGCTGATAGCAGCGCTATCTGCTGGACGACAACGATAAACCTTTACTATAGGCCGTAGGGAATATGAAATTTTGAAATAACAGTATTTAAGATATTATGGAACTAATTCTTATACATTTTAATCAAATAAATAATAAACATAGTATTATCTTAAATATTGTGAATATTTAGTTAATAATATTATATTATGTTCATGGTCGACTATAGACGGAACTACAATAGTAGTGCAGTATGCCATAGCCCATAATATGGCTGTAAGCCTGTAACCTAAAGAGCCTTAATAATATTAATTTATAATAATCTAATACTATATTTACAATCTTTATTTATTTATGATATTAATTAATTTTTTAACTATTGTAATAACAATTATTAAGGCTCTCTAGTCTCTACATAGCTATACAGTGTCGTATTTAGAATTTTTGGGGCCCAGGTCACTCATATAATTCCGCTCTTATTTTTTTTTTGTGGCAGGAGGGACGAAGGTGGATATCTCGAGTATATCTCAAACTATAAATACCTTTAAAAGTTATACAACTTTACTTGTATTGTAAATGAAGGAACAAATTCACTTTAGTCTTTAGTTGGCTGTTACCATGCTTTGTGGTTTAACTGTTTGACATAGGTATATGCCTATTCTATACCTATACTAGCTATACTATATAACAGGGGTCACCCACTAATTTTTATGGAGGTCCGTTTTGAATCTACATAATACAATAAATATTATACAGTATTCTAGATGAACAGGTATAAAAATCTAAAAAATGTATTAAAAAAATCTTTAAAAAGTTAAAAAAATTAAATACTGCAAGTTCCATATAAATTGTTGTTTTTGGAATTAAAAAAATAAGTTCAGGGTAATTCCACAAATATTTTTTATAAGCGTCTGAAGTTAAAATATTGACTAAATTGGATGTTCAAGCCAATGATGTAGGTAGTATACCTAGAACCTACTTAGTAGTAGTATAGGTACAGGAGGGTGATTTGGACGATTTCACCCCAATTAATTATTGTTAGTGCAAAATATACTTACAATTTTTTTAATACCCTCACGCTACACAATTACCTAGTATTAAGTAAATCATTTATCAGCAGTTTTAGACTTTTAGTCATTAGAGATTGACAAGAATATGGTATCAAAAATGGCATCGAATACCCATCTAATCTATATATTTTTAACAGAAAGTGGTATCAATGGGTGGCTTCTTTCAACAAAATCTCATATGTTAATAACCTTTATCACATTTTCTTATTGTGTCCAGTATGGATACAGATTGTAAATTACTTTTGAAAAGAAAAAAAATATATTTATATTTTTAAGGCAGCAGTGGATCTTAATAAAAATTTTCTTTACAAAATATTGTGTAAGCTTCCTGTATTGACAGCTACTGTTGTAGACTGTAGAGCATACATTTTTTAGTTTAAATGGATTAAAAAGTACTTACTGAATAGTATCTATAGCCTATAAGATAGGCTTTAAGTTAAAAGTATCTAATCGATTTTAATGTTAACTCGATTCAATTGTTTAAGTACAAGAATTTAATTAACTTTTTTAAAACAAATGTCTAATTAAATATGTTTCTCAGTCAAAATGCTTGTAAATTTCATACAATACACCTCAATCTCCATAAGTAGTTATTACTGAAACCAAAAATCTAATACATAATTATCATGCAAATAAACAAGTAAAAATTTTTTTGAATTTGAATTTCAAATTTTTACGAAATTGAATATTTAAACAAAGATTAACAACTTTTGTTGTTTTGTTGTTATTCAAAAATATTCACGAGGACTTGATATGTTTACGTTTATTATTATATGCAATGACATAATAAAATATTAATACTTTATAGTTATTTATAATTCCTTTTCAGTAAGTACCTACCTACTTTTACCGATACCGTATGTCCATATTAATAATTGGAAAAACAATTTCTACAATAATAAATATAGCAATATAAAACATATTAATATTAAATATGACATTAGGATTTATGATAAATGATAAATGAAAATATAAACTAAGTAATACTTAGGTAGGTACCCATATTTTATAGACAGACAGTATCCAACAAGTCGCCGCACAGAATAGTTTTTCGTGTGCAATAACTTATAATTAAATTAAAATGCAACACAACCATAATTGCAATAGTGCAGTGATCTACTCAATGATGATTAATAAGACAATGACGTATATAACGGTTACCTAGTACCTACCCACTTTTCTCCATTTTCAGGTTTTTATTACTTTTAAGCAGCGAGACCTTCTAGGAATTGTTTTTGCATTACTTCCACCCAGCTACACATGGTTTACTTAGTTCTTTGGTTTCCCAAATGATAATTCACGGATGTTCGATTTATTCCAATTCTAAGAAAAATATAATAGTTCTTATTGTAAATTATACAGTTATGTTAGATACCTCTCTGTGTTATATTATTAGGTTTTAACCGAAATATATATTTTTGAAAAGAATTGTTCAGCAATCAATTTTTACAACTATCAAAATGAATAGGTGACAACTGACTAACATGCTAAATTGAAAAATAGGTGTTTGATTGTTATTTACAAATATCCTTTAGTCTAACAACATTATTTACCTGAGACCACAGTAAGTATTATATCCAGTATTTTTCTTTAATGAATTGATTTATTATAGTATTGAATTTGGTTAACTTGATTGATTCGAAAATAGCTACATACTAATATAGATAAACGTATTATTTATCATGTGTAGTTTAACAAAAAAATTTTTATTATATAACTGTATCAAATGACCTATATCAAGGCTGGTACACTAGAAAACTTCCAGGTATGGCAATCAGCAAACTCACCTTTGAACACCATAGCAACTCAAAAGACAAAAACAGAAAGATAGGTAAAAAAATATGCAATTTTAAATATAAGCACAAGTGTACAAGACACTCAACATTCCATTAGAAAATTGATTTTGAACCTTCTCAAATATTCTAATTATACAAATATTTTTCTAATTTCTAACTTTTATTTGTATTACACAAAATATATTGAAAATATTTATTTTTATAATAACTATGGAATATAACATTCGACACTATCTTCAATCAGGCCTGAATTAAATAAATTAAAATTACCAAAACTTAATATTTTTTTTTAAATCTAAAAATCCCTACAGTAGGGTGTTCTCAGTATACATATTTTTAACTTTTATGTGAACATTGTACTTAATTCTGTTATCTATTGCTATTATTTTACCATAACCAAAGTACAAGACAAAGGAATATTGGATAAAAATCCCCATTAGTCTACCCAATCCTGATCAGCACTCAATAGTTAATAACTTAATTTCTTAAAAGAACTAATTAAATTCACTATTGAAGTAACAACTATAATGTAATACTGTATTCGCGAAGCCTTAAAATCATTAAAATTTAAAATAATCTAGAGATTATCTAGTTATAAAATATACCCAAAATGCTTTTAAAAACTTTTGTTTTTTCATTTTTAGGGTAATTATTTACCCCACGCAACCCACTAGAGGTTAGATTAATTTGATTGTAATTTGCAATTGATTATCAACTCATACTATACATACTATTAGTATAGTAGTATTTACTATTCATTCTATACAACTTCATAATAAATTGCAAATCATAAATAAATAAAATTAATTTGACCATCCTATCATCAGTATAATTGATAGGTATATTTTAGCCTATATAAGTTATGTTTGCTGGCTTAAGTAAATACCTTCAAAAATATATAAAACAAACATATTTAATATTATTACATTATCAACATTACTTGAGTCTTCCAAATTAATTTGTTTTTTTATAATGTTGAAATATTCACCTGATAAATATTTGAAATATTTATATCAAGGCCCAAAGTTAAACAAATATTTTTTAATATATATATAAGCTAAAAAATCTATATTATAAATTATAATATCAATACATTAACCAAATATTTTGTTTTAATAAGTTTAGATTAATTAATTATTGAAAAAAATAATAGCTTAAGATTAAATATTGATAATAACAATTTATAAGTTAGGAACAATTAGTATATTTATTAATAATTAATTTAAAAAAATATAAATTTAAATAAAAAATGTTTATAAAAAAAAATCAATCTAAAAATATTTAGTTTTCAATCAAAATAAAACAATTATTTTAAAAAAGTATTGAAGCTCTCAAAATAATTTTTTATTGTTTTATATTACAATAAAAATAATTTGATAACAACAACTTTTTTATTGTAAAATAATTGAAGGATATCTGTCTCAATAAATTTAAATTTATATAAAACAATTATTGAAAAATAAATATAGTACAGTGTAAGATACATTCATAATACAACCAAAAGTGAAATATTTTATTTTACAAATTTATGATTTATATATCATGTATAGTTAGAAATTTAAATTATTTTTTACTCATAAAAAACATACCTGTCAAAGAAACAAGAAGTATTTGTCAGAACTCATATTAAATTCAAAACTACATATTATTATAATTATTATCACCACCTTAAAATTACATATTGATATTATTTCATTAAATCAATAAATCATATTAATCAAGGCCTTCTTTTTTCTCTCTTAAAGCTTCCTGAAAAAAAAAAAAATATATAAATTTCGGTTAAACCTTCAAAAAAGGTAAGTAATTAATAAATTAGTGAGCTAAACACAGAAACAAACGAGATGCAAATTACAATAGATGATGTTAGATATGACAAATGTAATATGGCATGTAAGACCTTTTACATTATATACTAACCTAACCAGTTCTATTAAAATATAATAGCATGCTTTTATTTACCTATAAAATTTTTTTTTTCGAACAGCATTCAATGAAATAAGTATTGTACACCTAAATTATTTATATAGTCAGAGCTGCAACTAGGTTTAATGCAACAAAATGTTATGGGGCCCCCGCACTTGTATACTATAATTATAAAAAAGCTGTATTTACACTATTGTTCCAACATGTCCAATAAGGATCAGCCTTTATAACTGAACTTATTTTTAGGTTACCTTGTGACAACTGAATTAAATACTATATATAAATTTACAGTAACATAACAGCAAATAATACAAAATCTAAGATGGTAACCGTTTTGCAAAAATCAAGTAATTCACCTAAACTACATTACTAAATATCAAAAAATATTTACCAGAAATTAGGCTAAATATTAAAAAAATTCAAAAAGTATACATCTATTAAGTAACTATATTATTTACATTATTCAAATGTTCCCCATTTAGGCACACTGCTGCACTAAGTCATGTAATCAGAAAATTATATACATACATAATAGGTAGGTACAATAAAAATAATACAATTTAATTAAATATTAAATATATGAACATGGTATGAAGTCATATGCATTAAAGTATTAAACACATGCAGGTAAAATTTAAGACATGTAGTATGTAATAACATTTTCTGATATAGCTTTGGAAATTTGTAAACAAAATCACTTACAATTTTTTTTCTTGCTTTTGGATTAGCAAAATTATCAATAATTTTATTTTTATTCAATTCGCGAGTCTTTAATAACACTTGTTATTTGAGTTGTTAACATTATATTAGTTAAATATTTTTAAATATCTCTGTAACAATACTATAGGCCAAAAACTGTGTTATGGCGAGATATCTACCTACTTCAAGTCATAGTTAATATTTATATTGGGGGACGAGGTGACCGAATAGTCTGACACGTCCACTGCGACGCAACCGGTCGCGGTTTGATTCTCGGCCACCGGGTGGCATTTTTCTCCAGACAAGTAGCGGTGACCGGAGAACAAATGCCGCCATCCCCCAACCGGGCATGGCAGAAACCTACGGGCGCCCAATAGAAATTCTGCCAAACACAGACACACACGTGTATGATACGAGAAAAAAAAATAGTTAATATTTAATACCTCAATTGTATTGAATATTTAAACATAAAATACCTAAATAGATAGATTCATTTTTAATTTTGTTTTTTTGGAATAATAACTTACTTAATTTTTCCATTGATGATGAGCCCCCATTTAAACATAAAACTTAGCCAGGGAATGCTATGCATAACTAGAGTCCTCTATTGTTGCGGCACTGTATATAGTTCAACAATTTAAAATTAATTATTTAAATATAATACCTTGAAACGTTCTTCAAACAAAGAAAGTTCAGCCAAAAGATCAGTTATAGAATTAGTTAAAGCATCTTGAGGTGTATAATCAGATGTTGTTTGTATGCGAAGTTCAAATTTATGTTCCAGTGGATGTGGTTGTTTATATCCAGCAAAAAGTACATTAGGGTCTTTAAGTAGTTGGCTAAATTAATAAAATAATACACTATAAAGCATATACTATACTTACACAATGATGATAAATGGTAATTATGACAATTGTCAAGTACTCACTTTCTGATCATATTTCCCAAAGTATGATCTTCTTTGTTGACTGTAAAAATTGCTGCATTGGTTACTTTAGTATCCACTTCTTTGACTATTCTAAAATTCAAAAGGTAATGTTAGTCAACTCTGGGAATCAAATCGACAAGTACAGTGGGGCTAATGGACTAATTTATCTATGACATGTGTCATAGTAGATCTTTTAGATGTGGAGCTGGGGTGGGCAACTGTATAGTACTGCAGGATCCAGAATTTTAAGTACAAAGAATGTTAATTATAAGGATAAATAAATAAGATATATAAATGGTTATTAACAGCTGCTTTATTTTGCACTATAAAGCTAAATTTGTTTAGATATTTAGGTTACAGTATAAACAATTGTGCTTATATTTAAATAATTAACAACAAAATAACTACAATTGTTATTCTTTATTTAAATATCAAATTTTGTCCAAATTTTAACTTAAAATATCTTTAAAAATAACTGTTTACCTATGTATTTTCTTATTTTTTTTTTGTTTTATTAAAATACCTACTGATAATTTTCAAATTTTACCTCTCAAAAATATAAACTATATTTATTATATGTGCACAATCTACAACCAATTTTCTATCAGAAACCACCCTCAAAGTTAAAAATCTTATCATTTATCTACAATTAATCAGTACACAGACAAAAAAAAAACATCAATGTAAAATCTAAAATCAGTTCAACTATTTAAATATTTGTTCAGCTAAAACGTAGAAATAAATTACTAAGCATTGCATTATGTAAGTGCATTGATTTGTAACTAGTTAAATTTAAAAAAGGGGAGTATAGTCAGTATACCCTTTATGTACGATACGTCGATACCAAACTATATTTTAAACATATCGGCACCACTGGACAAGTAAATACTCAAAATAACTCACTTTTTTTCTCCGTCATACAGCAAAAACGATTCAAATGTTGGAGGAGCATTCATTTTACAAAATATATACAGTAAAGTAAACTGTCAACTGGAAAAAATGAATACCGACAAATAAACAGCCCGAATGCCCGATAGAAAATTAGAGGCAAGTCGTGACGAAGTTTGATAAATACTAATTGATAAGCCAAGACAATAAATAAACAATAAGCAAGTCTTATCAAAAATGTTGTCACTGTGTACAAACTCTTTGTAATACTCTGAGATTTACCATAACAAATTTGGGTCTGTCTATACCATAAAATTATTCTTTGTATATTGATGTTTAGTTACATTAAGCTATTTAAACTCGACTCCTGAAGGAAAAACATAACCGTTGTGGTAACCGTTTAAGCAATTCATATAACCTTAAATTTCAAGTTAGCATAGAGACAATTAATATTCAATTAGTTGTTATTAAAATCCAGGTTTAACTATATTTTTTAAGTTGTACTAACCTATAAATTGCGGTTATTGCAACTAAAGGTATAAACAAATTTTACTACGAAAAACAGCTGTCATAAAGTAATAACTATATAAAGTATAAAGTAGCTATTCTGCATTTTTGATTAGTTATTGTAATGTGTAACTAAATACTAGCGTTATTCAACTATTCGTAAGAAGTATAAACAACTATTAATTGTAGTGATTACAACTAAGCAACTACTTACAATAGTCAGTATAGTCACTATTATATAATAGTTAATCTAACTAAAAAACATTTAACTAATATTCCTTATCAATGGGAAAAGTGCAAGAGGAAAAACTCAGATACGGACTCAAAGTTTAAGTTGTGACATCGCTTTTTTAACTGCGGACCAGAGCGTTGGAGTCTCCAGCCAATGCAACGGTGTCAACGAGGAAAAGGAAAGTAACGGATGTTCCGTAACCAGCCATAGAACTAAAGTTTGCACTCGAGAGGTAGAAATAGTGCTACTGAACCCCCGAGCGGCAAGGGCATATACGCCAAACTGTGGGTGGCAAAAAAGCTTGGCTGGAGTTTTGCCGAAGAACAGGTTGTCCTAATGGCTGACGGTTGGACCCAAGAAAATAAGGAGGTTGCCGAATTTTCGACCCGAAAAGTGGATCTGGAAGTAAACTTAAGGGCCGCAGTGTAAGACGATCTCATGGGAGATGTTTTCCTGTTCCATGATTTCCTCGTAGAGCAACAATTCGCTTGGGACTATAGCAGTTGCATAATCCATTTGGGGAAAGAAAGACGTGTCTCCGTGAATTGGAGAAATCTAATTGGATAACATTGAATTGAGTCCTAGACTAATTTTAAGCGTTGGCTATAGGTAGTAATTGAGTCAGGTATCTGCAGCCACTGAGGCGTATTTCTGTAATACCTACATGTTTGAATTGACTCAGGACTCCGGAGATGAGTTATTTGAATGTTTGTAATTTGTACTGTAACATGTAACTTGCAAGTACCTAATACCTAAAATATAATACATTGATATTTTGATTGCTGATTAGTGACAACCTTGAACACGGAGTCTGAATCCATACGTTACGACTCACGATAAATTATATTTTTCCTCGACACTGATCGCGTAACGAAGAGGAACAGGTGGTAAAAGTCACAGTGTTGTATTTATGTTATGTTATTATGTTATTGTGCAATCGTGTTGTATAATTTTAGATTCAGAACGGAGTGATCGATTTTTAAATTATGTGTTTTGTTCTGTCTTCCATCGCCTTTGGGAGCAGTAATAATGTTTAATTTTTCTAATTCAGAAATTCAACATACTTCCTGGTAAGAAAATGAATCTAGTGGGTACTTCGGTGGAGACTAAAGTATAACATTTCCAAAAAACCAAAACAAAAAAAGAAAGACAAGTGAGTACCACTCTGCTGTACACTAGTTGTTGAGTATGTCATTGACCATTGTAATGGTTGAGTTAAATGTTAATTCAAGGATACCAAAAACAATTCTTAAATAATGTTCAACACTAATTAAATACTAATTGACTAAAATAATTCTTGTAGTTAAAATCCTTTGAATATCAAACATTGTAAAAAAATTACAATCAGACGCTACCGCGGACTAAGATAAAGGTTAATTTTATCTTAGTCCGTGGACGCTACTAAAAATGTAATGATACTAACCGTTGAACTTTTTTTCGTGGCTCAAGGTAGAAAACTTGTTGGGAATGTTCAATTAAAATTTAAAATTTCTTGTATTAGCTATGCAAAGAAAAGAATAGATACACTGAATATTTGTGTAAACGTTTTCTATAAACCATACAATTTTTAAAATATTTTGATTTGTGTTGAACTATTAATAGGCAAATGAAATTTTCGATTATTATTTGTTATTTTTAAACCCAAATACTTGAAAATGTAATACAAGGTTCCTCCTAAGCTGTTGTTGATGGAAATTAAAAAAAAGTTGAGCGTAAATGCACATTAATTGTTTATGAGCGTTCAAACTTAAAATTTTAACAAAATTCGTAAAAATTGTGAAAATTAGCAAATTATATTTAGTTAGAATATCATAACAATTTGTCTATTTATATCTAAGATTTAAAAATGTAATAGAAGATTCCTGACAATTCTGTGTACCTTTATCAAAAAAAAAAATTTTACCAGGAAGTCAAATTAAATTTCATATTTTAAATTTTTACAACGTTGGATATTCACTCGATATCTCTTGTAGTGATTTTCTTATTTTGTTGTAATTCAAAAACGAATTACTGTAGAGTGTAGACACTTGAAAATGATTTTGTAGTTAAAAATGTATAAAATGTTAAATTTTTATAGCTAAGGATTGAAAATTTAAGAAAAGGTTCTACTTAAGCAGTTTTTTCCAAAACTAATAGATCTACAAAAATATATGAATACCTACCGTTATTTTTTACAGACATTTTAAGTTCAAATTTGGACAAAATTGCATATTTACACAAAGAATAATGGTTATCATTTTGTTGTAATTCAGCTCCAAAACAGCCCAATTTTACATAGGTATATTTAATATTTTTCCAGCATCACTGATAATTTTAGAAGAATATTAATTCAACTAACCAGCTACAATATTAATAATAACTAATGAGTAATAACAGTATAAAATATTCTAAACTGACATACCGTCTCCGCTCAGAACCATTTTTCGTATACAATGATTTGATATCATTGAATTCAAATTTAATACTACCCATTACAGCGACCTCTTAGACACCTTATGTACAGTAGAGCGACATCTACTTATCCGCTTTTTTTCATTTTTTTTTTTGTTTTCCCAACGCTTTTGAAACCTGCTGGGAACTTTTTTTCAAAAATACCAACCAGTTCTGTTTTATTTATCAGAAATGAAAACGTCAAAAATCAAAGCAAACATCCATCATTACAATTACATTCATTCGCTATCCTCAGAATCTAAAAAATAAAGAAAAAACAAGATATTTAACGTAAAACCAGTTTTTACGACAAAATCGATTTTTTTTTTGTTGTGGCTCAGAAACGAATAACTTTGAATACTTAAATTTTTCACAAAATGTTTATTAGACCATCAGGTAAGAAACATTTTTAATAATTTTTTTCAATTTATTATTGTCATTAAATTATTTTTTGCCATGTCAATAAACGTGAAAATGTAATACAAGGTTCCTTGTAATGGATGCGCACTTTTAGCGACTCCTCACAAATAAAAATAAACGACACGAAATAACTTTGGTCAAAATTATACTCTTTACTTAATTATAACTGTTTTTTTTATAATGAAAGACTTTGAAAGGGGTCTGTATTTGTATTGTGCTACTCAAAGACTGCTAACTGATACGTGTGGCATACGACGCGTAGGTCGTTATCGGGTAAAAAGGTTTATTCAGCAGATTCCTTCGCTGTTAGTTTGTTGATTCCCGAAACCTATAATTTATGTATTATTTGATTCCCGGGCTATTAAGAGATATGTATAAGTTGATTCCCGGGCTATTAAGAGATATGTACAAGTTGATTCCCGGGCTATTAAGAGATATGTACGAGTTGATTCCCATATTGTTGGTGTACTAAATATGGTAACCGGATAAAAAAGCCACGGATAAATAAGCCATTGATAAAAAAGCTATGGGATAAAAAATCCACAGGATAAAAAAGCCACCGATAAAAAAGACATGGATAAAAAAGACGAATTTTAAATCAAGTATCATATGAATTTTCATAATATAATAATATAAAATAATAAATAATTAAAATAATCGTATTGTGTAAGCAATAGCTGTTAAATATTCGTCGATTGTCCGCTGTGTTAAGCCATCACTACATATTTTATACAATTTTTCTTGCATTTTTTCATAAATTTTTTTTTTTTTACTTAAATTGCCTATTACGAATTGGGCTAACTTTGTTTCATCTGAAGACAACTCTAATCTCATTTTCTTAATTAATGACCAAATAGAAGGATGATTGTGGCCTACTAATTTTGAAAAACGATGGTTCCACCCTTCTGTTTCGTTGTTAGTTCGATGTCCATTATCAAGGGTAGTTTGATAGACATTCCATATTGATGGTGGATAGAGTGGTGCAATATTTCGAAGTCTGATACCATTATTCGGATTATGCTGAACACTTCTGTAAGACCCATGGACATACGTGGTATCAAAATAATCGACTAAATCTGTTGCCTCCGGTGGCATAATTGTTCTTAAAAAATCCATTCCCTCTAAAACTTTGTTTTCTGGTAAAAATGCTAAACTATCGAGTTTTCTACAAAATATACTAAAATCATTATTATTTCTATACATATTTTCAAGTCCAAGATTCTGTATTTTTCTATATGTGCTTTGAGTAAGGTGATAAAAGCACCCTTTAATACAAATATGGTTTCCAATTGTATTTTTTAATGCTTCAATCACAGCCTTTTCGAAATCCACATGTACTATAAGAGGATCAAGATAAATTTCCCTCTCATTGCATTTTTCTAATAAAATTTTAATTAATTGTTCGTAACTAGACTGGGTTTTTCTTTTTAATAAGAAAAATACAGGTGTAATAAATATTGTTTTTACTTGAATCCGTATTACATATAGTTGTTGGAATTCCGTCGGCGATAATGCAAAGTTGCCATCCATGAACCATTATTCAGCTTCTGATAACAATTTTAAGCCGTCATCTGTGGCGAAAATTGTAATACGTTCATCCGAGTTTGAACCATTGTCGTATAGCAAAAATCTTTTAAAATTAGGCTCACCAGTCGTGCACCAATTACCTATTAATAATTATTAATTAATAAAATATATATATATTAAATAAACGTAATTTTATCACGGAAAATAAACGAGTATACACGTTTATTATACTGTTATTGTATTCACCAAAAATATACTCATAATAATTTTGTAATTACCTTCGATCATAGTAGAATTAATAGGACAGTTTTTTGATCGTTGTCTTCTTAGCATACGTTTTACCGTGTCTTCAGTGGGCATCCTAGCTTTAGTTGCTGTTTCTATTTGCGATACATTTTCCGTAAATATTTCTACAGGATTTATCATACTAGAAGAAGTTACTTGATCCTTCATTTTTTGTATACATTTAGTAACTTTTATTTCTTCTTTATCAGGTAGATGATTATGTGGATTTTTTTCTACAGGATTATCATGTTGCAATTCAGTGTACATTGTCCCTGTACACTTGAGAGAACTCGCTTTAATACAACGCCATGTTATTTTATTTTTCCCCAAATGCTTAATGACGTACATATGACCATTAAAACAAATTTTGCTACCTCCTTTGTTTGTTTTGACAATTTCCATTATAAAAATTCAAAAAAAGTTCTTACAAATTTTAACACCTTACACTTGTATTTCACGACGTTTGTACTATACACAGACTGAGCATAACGGAAACTAAATAGTGTATAAAAGATAAAATTTTACCAATTTCCCAACCATATAGGTTTCGGTCAACCTATAATAATATTAGATTATAGAGACAATCACATAGTATATTATATTGTTCACATATAATACAATACTTTAGACACTAAGATACCAACACCAGTTTTAAGATAAAGTCAAATGACAATGACTTTTATTGCTATATACCTTAATCAGTTTAATCTTTTATATTTCAAATGTATATTTATAGTATTTATACCATATATCCGGAAACGGTATTTACGGTATTTAATGTTGCTTTTTTATCCCATGGATTTTTTATCCCATAGCTTTTTTATCAATGGCTTATTTATCCGTGGCTTTTTTATCCTAGATCCACTAAATATACATGATAATGTTACTATACAATTTTCAGCCTATTGGCGTAACCCAAGAAACACAACGAGGAGGTTGGCAAACAAGTCTCTCAAAAATTTTCTCCTTTTTAGTTTTTTTCATATTTTGAAAACCATTCAATTTTTATTTAGTAATTATAATTTATTGTATTCTATTATAAATGTAAAACAATTTAGTATATTATTTATTCAACAAATTATTAATGTAGACTACGAAAAATACACAACTACGATACTTCAAATGTGTGTTGAACTAATAATGGTTGCAACAATACTGGAGCACACCTAATATTTTAGAATGTTCGACTATAAAAACTGCTATCTAAAATGAATATTATCATTACCAATAACCATTGATAGGGAATCATCTCATTTATATAATATCTTTTAATGTCCCGGAAATCAATTCAACTGTGTAGGTAAACAGTAAACACTAAACAGGTACCCGGTAATCAACTCGTATGCAGCCGGTTCCTTAGATCAGTCGCATGAAGAAATTACACATAATATCAGTTTACAAAATGCTTTAAAATACTACAGCTATGTAAATTAATACTATACCATACTTATAAATAATGGTATTAAAAATATTCATTGATTCTTAATATCCTCATAATTTTCTAATAGATAGCGTAATCAAACAAAATAGTTTTGGGTAAATCCACGATAAGTTTTTAATTGAAGTTAGAATTTTGATGATATTCATCAGAATTGAAAAAATTACAAACTTGAAGTTAAATGTAGTTAGTTGGAAATTCATAATCAATTTCATCTCATAGCTAACCTTTGAGAATTCAGTACAAGATTTGGATTTACTAATAAATTGTTCTGTTCTACCTACATATTGATATCCCCTTGATATTTTTCTAAATATAGTATAAATATAAAATCCTCAAATCAATTATAGGTTAATTTTTTGATGTGAAACTTCTTTACAGAGGGTCTAAAAAAAGTGATATGACCGTTAAGTTTGGCCGAAACACACTGATGATGAGTTTCGGGTTTGATTCCAGTCGAGAAAGCCCAGCTTTTTTAAAATTCTTTTGCTGATGTGTTAAATTTTTTAGATAGATACGTAGTTTAATATTTCTTGAAAAAATGTTACTTGTCAAAAACAATGTCAACAACAACTAGTTAAACATTCAAAAACTATAACAAGGAAACAGAATACTTAAGTGTATACAATAAAACAATACAAGATGTTCATAATAATTATAATCATAATTTATTATAAGCAAGTTTAAGTTACATTATACACATGTACATAAAAAAAAATATATATATTTATATATTATGTTTATAGAGATTTATAACTGTGAATAAAATAATTTTAACTATAAAACAAAAATGTTTAACTGCTAATAATATAACAAAGAATTTTTTTTATCCCAATAAAATATATACTCCCATTGATAAGAATTAAATTTAAATACATACCAACTAAAGAAATATACAAAAATTGTCCTCCCCAACCTGATTATTTCTAATTTATTAATGGCCTAGTTATATTTTTTTTTATGTAAGTAATGATTACTTTAATAAGAAAAAGTTGTAAGATTTAGATAATGAAATTCACATAACCATAGTAAAAAACTGAAAACATTTTTTTAAATTTTTTATGTTCTATAATATACTTTAATACTAATTCAATGTTGAACGGAGATCATTTTATACAAATTTTTCAAAAATTCTGGTCATTGCATTACATAAAAAGAAACTGGCACATTAGAAAATCGTTGATTTCGATCTTACACATATACAAATACATAACTAACGCATGGAGTAAGTATACAACCATAAATACGCACATCTTAACATAAGGAAATAATAATTTAAAGTTTCAAAAAAAAAATTGTACATAATAAAACATGCTATGAGACTACACAAAATAATTTTATCATTATCAGCTAAATAAGACTAGAATACAAAAGGATAATGGAATTTGATATAAAAAGTCAAAATTATAAGATTGTGTAATATGAAGGAATGGCTTGTATAAAATACATTTGTAATAATAATATTAATTAATTACTCGCGAGCCTATTAAGTATTTAGTATAATCATATATAATGTACAAAGTAATTGATATATAAAATTGTAATTGACATAATGGCCAAGTATATTTTTTTGGTTTTTTAATTTTTAGCAATTTGACATAACATGAAAACGAGGAACACCAGTTCAATCAACATTGTTGACTTTAATTTTACACTTCCAAGGAGAGAAATCAGCTATTTACTAGAAGGATAAACATTTTCAGTATGATTACTGATTTCCAAATTGCATGTGTAAATATAATTAACTACCAACAGTACTTAATTTAAAAAAAATAGATTATTATTATTGCACATTTAAATAATCTAAGTCGTCAAGACAGAATCGATCAATCAAAATAAAATATTTTTTTAACACAGAAAACTAGAATACATCTGAATACAATGACCTATTACAAGGTAAGATATACATGTTTCAATAAAAAATCTTACTGTTGGTGTTATCAGTATAGAAGTTATCATTTGTAGCTACATGAGGGTTTGCACTCTTCAGCTGTTACAGGATATTTTTTACCGCTCCATGGCGGGGTTAATAAGGTTGATGGAGTGACTGGGCCTTTTACTCGGGATAATTGAATTAGTTCAAATCTACTCTGTGCTAAATCCTAAAAATATAAATAAATTTAGTTAAGACAATTTATTACAAAAGACTGTTAACATTAATTAATATAATTTTGGTTAAATACCACAATTCTACTACACAAATAAAATATATTAAATGAAGATATGTACCTTTTTTACATCTGAGTGCAAAATAAATAGATAAATAAGAATGAGAAAATGTCTAAAATTAGTTGACAAACCATAAGACAAATGTACAAGTGATACTTACATACATATCCATGCTGACTAAGTGTTGTTGTTTAACATGGGTGCCATCAACTTGTTCTGAATCATTTTCAAAATCAATTTCTTCATACTGGTATTCTTCAAGAATTACACTCCAATACACAGACATCCATTCAACACAATTACATACATTTCCTTCTGATAAACCTAAGTAATGATTTGAAAAAAAACACTGTTTAATAATAATTGAAAAATCAACTAATTATTTTTTAAATAACTTACCAGAAATGGTTAAAGCAATTTTTTTATTTAGTACTATTGTAAGTGCAGACGCTGCTAATTCACTATATGAGTATCGTAAACTAGTTGAATCTAGACTAGCTAGATCTAAAAGATGAGCAACCTGATTGAACAAATTTTGAGGAAATTGTGGAACAATCAAACTGTCTTCTGCCGTGCTATCATCAACACAAATGAATTGCAACATCAATTCTACCCAATAGTTTATAGAAACAGGTGTCAAACGGAAACGCAAATGCTGAAAAACATATAAAAAATTAGTTAATTCTTTGTAGTTACTTGAATTATTATAATATTCAATATTATACAATTATTATTAATTTGTTATTACCATCAATAATATTTTCTCCATATCTAACAGATCTTCATCAGTACATGCACCATCAGTAACGTAAGCAAATTCAGTTAGTTTAGGAGGGTATATCTCTTCCATTTTGGCAGCCATAAATAGACAAGTAATTCCTATATACAAAAAATAAGTTAACCCTAAATTAACTTGTCTTTGTATGGAGTTAGAATTAAGGCTGGGAAAATGTAATTACCAATGAGTTGTAATTTTTGTTTAGGAATAGAATCACTGTTTGATAAATAACGGTCTAAATAATCCATGGCTAAATAATATGTTTCTCGGTGAAGCTTATAAACAGATGACACCTAAAATCAAATAAAAACATTGTTATTTATAATACATGTAAATAATTTGAAATACGATAACATGAATAATTTATTATGAAATAATACCTCAATTAGCCAATCTAAAAGAATAGCTCTCATTCGGGATGTTATATGTTCATGGCAATCTTGGTAATCAGGGTTCCTATAAGTTAATGTGGCAGAATCTCTATTACATATCATTTGCCAAAAGTCTGCACGTTTCCCCCAAGGAATTTCTGGTAATGGACACGGTCTGTCATTTAATGCAACTGGTTTCTGGTTGATGGCCATGTCACGAAATCTGAAACGATGATGAAACAACAAATTTAATTAAATTGTTTATTATATTACTTAAGTGATTAGTAACTTACTTGCTCCAAGTAGTAACTATAGTACTTCCAACATTTTCTTGAATGTTTGAATACCGTGGAGTAGGCACATATGTAGGTGGATCATTTTCAATATTTTTCTTTGGTTCAGAACTATCAATACAATCTGGGCTGAGTTCATTGTCAGATAATAATGGTGCAGGTTCACTGAGAGCAGGACTACTAGCTTCTGATTCCGACCTAAGTTTATCAAATAGATTATAGACAACATTTTCACAATTGTAATTTTTTTTTTATTTATTACTTACCTATCATCTGAATAAATTGAATGAGAGTCTGGAGACAGAACTTGTAACTCAGATAATGGTCGTCGTTCTATACTTCCATTATTACCAACAGATAATTGTTGGAAGGAATCATTATTTTCAGAGTTAATTTGAAACGGATCAGAGTCAGCTCGTACTCTGGAGTTTCTTTGTAAATTAGTAAAATATTGATGGTCACTATCATCCGACGGGGATGACTGTGATGAACTGTGTAATTTAGATCTAGATAAAATACTTGGGAGCTCAACAGGACTATGGTCAATTTTCATCCTCTTGCCAGACACAGTACCATTATGTAAATAACCTTCAGAGTTCTAAAAGATAACAAATAATTCATGTGTTCAATTCAAACAAATTGGGCAACTGGATTATTTAAATGAGAAGAGAATTGAGTTTAAAAATAAGTCGTTTTTAAGCCTACTGAAAGTATATAAATGTAATAATAAATGTTAGGTAATAAGTAAAATATAACTTAAAATATATTATAATAAGCAATTCAATTTTATAAATGCAATAGAGATCTAATAGTAGGTACCCCTTTGATACTACTAGTACTTCAAAAAATTATCAACACCAAAATATGGCCATAAAACTTAATTTTGTTTTTCTACTTGAAATTATTTGAGAAATATTGAATAAAATAGTCAACTTTTTTTTCAAAAGGAATAAAATAGGTATTTAAAACAACACAAAAACAATAAAATTGAACTTACATGTCTTTTCCTTTTCAAAACACCATCAACGTTTGATGAACTGGAGTCATTCATTGTAGTTAACTGTAAGGAATGAGAAATGTAAATCTGAAAAATAATAAAAATTTCAAAAATTATAGCTATGTTTTGTTCTGTTTCATAACACTCAATTATGTAAAAATAAAAACCTTCAAATATTTGTATGACAGCATACATACATAATATAAGATAATAGGTATACTTGATTATGCATATAAAGTATAAGCAGAAAAAATTTATGTGAGTAGGTATTGATGAATCAATTTGTTATTATATATTATATCATTTCTTCGAAATAGACAAATTAATATGGAAGTTACCTAGTCATTATGATAAGATTATTCTTGAAGATCAAATGTATGCTTACACACAAGATATTTATAAAAGTAATGTAATGTAATTATACACCATAATAAATAATATTATGTACTGTGTAAGTGGAAGGTGGAAAGGTAAGCAGCCACCATCACCAATCGGATTAAAAGTATGTATAAATTGTATGACCATAATGATGGGCATGATGGTTGAATTAAAATATAATACCTAATACAATAAAATAATAAAATTTACCTAATAGAAATAAAATTACAATTTGTAATATACTGATTGAATGTTTTTTGCTTTAATATTTGGGAGTAGTATAAATTAAGTTTATAACATTATTATAAATAAACTAGACAACTACCATAAAATATATATATACCATAAAAAATAAAATTAGTAATGACTATTTGTTGTTTAAATACTTTTTAATAAATAATTATTTATTTAATTCTAAATAAAAAAAAATACCTACTACTTTGAGTTAAATTTAAAAGCTGTAGATTTATGTAACACGAACAAGTATTTAGCAGTCATCACGAAGATATCAAAATAGATTCGTTGATTTTCAAGTTACTAATGTATTTCACTAGTCATATGTTTCAAAAACAGAATAAAAAATTGGAAATTGCACGCGTAATATACACTGTACTACCTTATGGTAACAACAATAATGTAATACAAGATATTAAATATTTTTTTTAGCTACGCGAATAGCGAGTATGAGAAACGAAAACCACTAAGCAGTCGGCTCGTGAGTCTTATTATTTTTTAATAAAACATAATTGAAAATTATTGCAAGAGATGAGTAGGTAGTTAATAGCGTACGGTAGACAGACACGATGGACAAATGTCTCATCCTGGGAATACAAATGGAAAAGGTGAGAACGATACCCGTACGACAAAAAAAAAATATTAAAAAGGTGACGCGTGGACTGAACCACTGAACAACGACATTGGGCGGGCTTTTGGCCTCGGGCGGCGACGCGGTGGTGGCGGGAAACGCGCGCGCCGCAAGAGTACGTGGATGATGCGAGGAAACGGGCGCCAAAAGCGTTTTCCCTATTGTCCGCCTATTGCGCGCGAGTTCCGTGCTCCTCTACCAGGGGGGCCCGCCACCGCCAACCGGCAGAGGTCACCGGAATCGCGATCGTTCGTTTTCCGCGCGCGCGAAACCGACGATACCAATCGGACCCCGGGGAGATATTGCGTTTTTCACGGATGACCAAAAAAATGCAGACGAATACGTGGACTCGGCGATACTTCGTGTGTACCGTCCGCGAAAGATTTTTCGCAGATTCCACTAAACACGAAATATTGCAACGTCCAGCAAAAGACTGCGACAAATGACAATAATATAATATGAGTATATGACATGTAGACTTACGAGTGTGTCGGCCGTCAAATCGTCCCTTCCGGCCGGAGAGACCGCACGGGGGAGGGACGAGGAGAGTGCGCGAATCGGCACGTAGCACCTCGGGCCCGGCGACGGCGAACAGACGGACGTAGATCATAAACTGAATTAATACTGTTGTTAAAAAACTTTGTCCTGAAGACGAGCAAAAAAAAATTCAAAACTATTTAACGACAGAGGAAACGAGTACTTCGGAGGAAACGATAACTTCGGAGCAGAGCGTGTGGCGAGTTCCAGGGTTCACGGCTAACGAGCGACTGGTCGGGGTCGGCGGCGACGGGCGAAGAGACAATGATCCCGACTGTGGCCGCCGACGGCAGACGGAACCGGTTATGAGCAGAGGGGCGCGCGGCGCGCAGGAATGCAGGCCCCCTTTGCGCGCGCGCGGGCGCTTTGTTGACAATACGGATCAGCTGATCGGGCGGCAACAGCTGACCGTCTGGCGCCGACGTCTGCCGCACGGTAGATCCCGCCTAAAAACAACACACAAACACGCGCGAGCCGTCCGCCGCCGTGGCCGCGGGTTTGCCGCCAAAACAAAGCTGTCCGCGGCGATAACGCCGGCGGCGCGATTGTCGCCTGCAGTTTACGACGCGATTACGTAATACTATAGAACAATAATAGTATCATAATTGTTTTTTATTTACTTTTCGCATCGTCCTACGTTTGTAGAAAATATTTATTTATTTTTTTTATAAATTGTTATTGTTGTTTACATCGAATATGTTTAATACCAACTAGAATAGTATAACCGGACCGATAAATTTACACTGAGTAATATTATTATAATGTGCAGATAGTTGATCCTCTACAACTACAAATTTCTATTTTTCTTCTAAAGTAATGACGGTATGTCAATAACGCGCAGGTGAGATGGTATCATTTTAGTGTTCCATAACGGAACGCCATGGCAGAAAATAATATTTAACGAGTATTAATTAAAAATGTATACCTATAACCGATAAACCGGTAAGCCGGTGTATAGATAATATTCTCCGATGACAGAAAAGTCGGTAGTCTAACAAAAATTAATAAGGATCTTTAACAATTGTTAAATATTGTGATGTAGTTAAATCGCCATAAACACGTCATCGCAGGTTTTTACTAATGATTTAATTTTTCTAATAAAAATTGTCAATTGTCTTCACCCGAGAGTGGTACATATTTACATATATATATACTTACATATACTTACATACTTACATATACTTACATACATACTTACACGTAAGTACGAAAATACATAATAAACTACCAACAGTTCTCAATAGAGCACATAAATATGTGATTGATGATACAAGTATTTACCAAGCAAGTATATAATTAACAGATTTTACCTTCGTACTAACTACTAACTGCTTATCTGTCGTTATATACTCAGTTAAACGCAAAACTAGGTATAACGTATACGCACTGCTGTGTATTATCCTAGTTAATGAATCAGAGGAAGTCGTTTCCAGTTTACATAAAATTATGGTCCTAACTTGTATACCAAATAAATAAGAACCCACACAATTATTGAAATATGTACGGAAACTGGAAAGAAACGTTGTTCTGGGTTTCTTTTTGTTACAAAATATAATTTTTGGAGGGATCATTTACTACGACGTTCACACAAACGCGCCTATATTAAATGTACACTACATTATTTTTATACACAAAACGAACAGTTTGGATACCCAGTATCCAGGTATTTCTTGTGAAAGGTTATCATTATTCGACCACGTAAACATTATTATTTCTAAAATATACTAGGTACTATAAGTCAGAAATATGAATCTATCTAAATAAAGTAACATATGTTTTATGTAATTAGTAGTTACAGACATCGTTACCAAATTAAAACCATTTCTACGCATTATAAATAAATATTCTCATTCAAAATTATAAAACGTGTTTAAAAGCATCATAAAATGTTTTAATAAAATATTAGCAAAAATAATTTATGCAGCATATTATAATTTGTTTATAATAAAGAAATAATTTGATGGTTTTTATAGAAGAATTTATAATTATTAATGACTAATTACTAATAAATAATGCAATTAGTTATTGCTAAACGGTAGAAATATTAATTTATTTGGTATATAGAAACGTAATAATGTTTTTATCTGACAAATTTTGATTCGGTAAACATAATTATATATACATTCAACACACACAAGTACACAACGTATTTTGAATTCAATTGTTGGTTATTGTTTATTAACAGATATTACATCCATACTATGAAATATCGTTATTGTATAAATTTAAATTATATAATAAATATGCTACTCCACCTATTATAATTCTATAAGAATATAAGATACAATATATATATATATATATATACTATCGATATAAATAATCATCGGGCAAAACTTGGATTTGATACAGGCTGTTATGATCAATTTTCATGGTCGTAATTATTCTGAAAGGCGTTGTCCATCGACACTTTTCCCTGGAGTTTCGTCGAAAATATCGGAACGAGAACGCCCGGGGTTCCATCATAAATAAATGCATTGTGTTATATATGTATAAGTGCCTACGTCCACCATAAAAAAGTAATAATAATAATGGCCATCGCGATGATCAATGAGTGTCAAATTTGGATTCACCTGCAGTAGCAGCAATTGTAGAACGATGTTATTTTGCTTCCTCTGCCGCGCAAAAGAGAACCAACAAAAACGTACGCAAAAACACGTCGGCCCATAGTCCGTGGGTAGCGTTCGAAATCTATATAAGTATTATTTAATATAATATAACAATATAGGTAAGACTGCCACCACCAGCATTCCATTTACGTTGTTTTCGTTGGCGCCAATTGGTCTTTGTGGGTACAAAAGGGATTATATTATATCATTACAAGGCCGACGCGGTCCAGAAACCGTATAACATACGTACGGGTCTCGTCCTCGGGCAGCGGCGGCTAAACGGAGTGCCTCTATTGTCCTTAATACAGCAGGACAAGAAACTCAAGAGTATTATATTATTACTATAATTCCGTCCGGTCCTGCGGGATATTTTGATGCGAACTCACTGTTATATTATTATTATTATTGTACGTCATACGTTTAGTTATAATGTAATATCGTCACTGGCGACTATATAAATATATAATAATATACTATAATCGTATCTAATCATTATTCTACATGTATATACAAATACACATGTGAAACCGAAAGGACGTCCGTTCGGCGGTTACAGTACCGTGACGTATATACTATTATAATATTGGGATATTATAATGTAATATAATGTCGTCTTCGAGTCAGTAGAATTAAAAATAATTACGCCACAGTGGCCTGTATCGTGACAGGTGTTGAAATAACTTGACCGTGGAACGAAATCGCGATACTAAAAACTATATGGACCCGTAGAAGGCTATTATATTATTAAGTTACTGTATATATTTTTGGTAATTTTTTCATAACTTTTCAATATTACAATTCAATTTTTCTATTCACCAAATACTAATTGTAGGTACCTACATTGCACATTGTAGGCTTTAATAATATTTTGATACAATCTTTGAAATAAAAACAATTACAAAATTGTCTATGATAAAATAATAATCACTACTCATTAGTCATTTGTTATGGTTTAGTTTGATATCGTTTTCTAAGATTAAGCTCCTTAAAATTGTTAAAAGTAATTTGAAGCAAATAGAGATAGAATTTTAAAAACCAATAATATAATAAAGAAATACAATAAACGTTTAACACCCAAAAAATTTTATTCTTTTCAATAAATAATTATTTAATTGTATTTTTGATTGAATTGACAAGAACTCAACAAAAATTACTGGTTTAATTCCAATGCCATGCGATTTATTTTCTAATCACTTGACTAAAACATCAATACAATATATTGCCATATTGGAGCATTTTTGAATGAGTTTTAAAAGGGTAATATCACGATAGTACTTTAATACGTCATTAACACGAATTAGTTTACAACGGAAACGAAATATCTTGGAAATAAAAAGATGAAAAACTACATAAATATATTATTCATTTGGACACGGTTAGTAGGTGTATTAAAACATAAAAAATGAAATGAAAAATTATGTAGACTAGCAAGTCACTGTCGAATGATCGCTAGTTCTCTCACGTGGTCTTCGGAGGTAAATATATGAGTATTGTAAACGAACACATGTTACATCCAAAAACCGACAAAGATTCGCGTGACTTAGCATCGTGGGAGATGTAACAGCTTAGAGAGGGTAGGCCCATGCTTAGGAATATGTATATTAGTCATTGATATAGCTTAAATTAGTCATGAGTATACATTTTGATGAATTCGAGTAAATTAAAAAGCTTAATTGTACTTCGGTGAAATTTCAAACAAACAAATATAACAACTACGCAGTGTAATCAACGTATCAACTACTATGTAGTAATACACTTCTCAATATTTATAAAACATAGATAGACTAACAAAATTGAGAATTTTCATTTTTTTAATACATGG